GTAGAGTTCGGCCCCCGAACCGATTTTGAACCTTTCGGAAGCACATCGAATCAACGGATTTAAAGATCATAAAAACCACATTTTCAGTTCACATCGAATTGAGTCAAATGTAAACGTGAACATGCAGGCTTCCACTCAAAGCGACAACAGCAAGTAATCGGCCATTTATTTTTCGTTCAGCGAGCTCGGGGGTGCAAACGCCCAAAAAGGGCCTGTTCAAAAACCGAAGAGCACGCGCATCCAGATATCGCTTCTGGAACGCCCGCGACCGCAACGTGGCTCTTTGATTTCACCCCCCCCCCCGTTTTGACGGGCGGGTGGGAGGGTCAAAATTTTACCGGACGATCCGGTCCTTGAGAATGATATGTTTCGCGTGCTCAACCTCAACCGAACTCAACAAAACCATTCACGGCCAAGTCATGCCTGTTCAAAACTTTATTTCCCTTTATGTATCAACCGGGTGTATCATCAATATATATATATATACAAATATAAAAAATCAGACATATATCTCAACTCATTAGTCCAATTATATTTCATATGAAATAATGAAACTCACAGCTCACGCACTCATGTTTTCATTTGGAATGGGGCATCTCAGTGCCTTGCCCTGCCCCTGTACTTGCACGAGTGCCCTACCTATATATGACACACCAAACACACAGCTTGCCAAAGCGAACACCTCATCATGCACGGCTGCTGTTTTGCCTGTGTTCGCGAATCGAAGTTGCGAGTGTTTCCTCCCACCGCAGCGCCGGTTGCATCCCACTTTTGAAGACACGTTGCCAACGAAGAGTGACCACCTGATCAGCAAACATGAAATTTGCAAGCTCGAGGAAATTTGTAATCTCAAACACACGAACATCCAGCAATGGCTGGGCGACTTGAGAGTCGCTGAGTGTATGCAAAAGTTCAAAGTCACTGAGCTTCATGTTTTTGCTAGGAGGCTGTTGAAACCGAAACTTTTCAAAACTCCGGTCAATGGCGCAGCCAAAAAGCGAAGGCCTCTATAAGTCCTACTGCATGCCTCATGCAAATGGCCAAACAACAGCGCAAGATTTTTTGGCTGATGACCTGGCTTCAAGTAGCACCTGCGTGTCTTCGTGGTGCGATGGCCTGGATTGGATTTGCGAGCCATCTCACTGCGACTAATAATTTGAATTAGAATGGCAAATTATTCTGGACAGAAATCAATTATTTTTCAATCTAATTCAAAATATTTTCATATATCAATAATTCCCAAGAGTTGTTGTAAATCAATATTTCTCAATATAAATCACCATTTCTAATCATAAAGAGAAATGACCACCGATCACAAAAACTAATAAGTCGCCAGCACTTCGTAGACATCCATTAGAATATCTTTAATCACCAAACTAATTTTTATATTGAAAACGATAGTATTTCGCAGATATCTAATAATTTATTATTAAGCTAAAACATTTAAATATATATTAATCGTGATATAAATCAACCACTAATCTCGTAATAGATTCCAATATTTCTACCTAAGATATAACGATATTTATAATAGAAATAATGAGATTCCAAGAATTTAAGACCGACCAATAGAAGCGAATTTTAAGGCTATAAAAAGCTTTATGAAATTTAATTTATAATATATATATATATATTCGTGCAATTCAACTTTGCAAATTATTTGGCGAGCGAAATAATATATAAGAATTTTTTTCGAAAAATATCTCAGAAAATATTTATATAATCAAGCAAAATTCAGTTTTAAGATACTTCTTTCTTATCTTAATAAGACCTCTTTCTATATTTTTCTCTCTCTCTATTCATCTTCAAATAAATTAATGATTCTAAATATGCCAAGATTCATTAGAAGAAAAGATATTATTTGGAGGCAATTACATATTTCAAATTTCGGAACGAGTTATCTCTTATAGAGATATATCAATTCGAAATATATATGTTATTATTTGATATAACCAATATAAGTATGAAGTAAGCAAATCTATTATATATCAGTATTCTATATATAAAAGAAAAATATATATATATATATATGTGTTGATTGGAGGAGGCAAATGGTTTTTGTATTTTTTTATATTTTTGTTGTGATTTAATTCTGGAAGGGCATATGGAAAAGCCAAGTGTTGTAAGGAAAACGAAGCAGCCCAGAAGCAAAGAGAACAACCATTTGCATAACATCTGAAACCATAGCCCCGGCATTGGCAAAGGGGGAGGGCGGAACATGAAAACAGAGAGCATAAGGACCAGCATAAAATGAACACCCAGCCCGGAAACAGGCATATGTCATCTCAACTAGAAGCCCGTGACACAACCCCTGCGGAATATACGCTTCTGTGCTACACTTGAAAGAACAGCAATATTAGAAACCATCGCCTCGTTCATGCGCTCAACGCGCAACGCATGAACTACAGTCAAACACCTGGCCCTAGGGTACCCGGTGGGTCTGAGCCTATCAGTCACACAGTGATTTGTTAAGCTTCCGAGAGCCGGAAGTGCCTTACGAACTGCGCTGGTCTTTTGACTTTGACCGCTGCAGGTCTGCATCTCATTCTGCATCTCAATGTCCAATTCAGGAATTTACTGATAAAGCCCATTTGTCCAAACGAGAAATACAGTCTTCCACAACCAACCTCTACATGGATATGCGTCCCGAGACATATCACGGGACTATCGTCGGTCGCCTGTTGGAGTTGCGTGCCGTGCACTCCCACTTAGGCCTCTGAAGGATAAGACGATGTCGTCCATGTAGAGGCCCACAGCCAAGAAAGCAGCTTTACGCCTTTCTGCAAGTCATACGCTGCATTATGTTATGCTGCCGCCTGACAGAGAGCAAAGCCAAAACGGTGGCCGTGATCTCATGAAGGTGACGTTCATTAAGCACTGCGGCACGTGATTCCATCCTGATTTCATAAGCCATATCACCAACCTAAGCTGGTGACTGCATGTACCATCGCCGTTCTCAACAGCGTAGCCGCAGTCAGGAGAAGACTCCGGCAAAAGACTGTCTGAGGGCTGACCACAGCGACAAGCGACAGCACATGCAAAATCTGTGATTCAACCGATGCCGATGATCCTGCATGCTGAAGCATCTCGGAAATGAGCACAACTTTCGACACTTGACAGCTGCTCTGGGACAGGAAGATACATGGTGTGCTGCGCACTCAGTTCACAAGCCTGCAACTTGGAACGCTGTGCATCCCATGTGTGGGATACTGCCCAGTATGCCGGCGGGCAAAAACCAGCATCACAGACCAACGCTGGCATGCTACAGGCCAACTCAAGTGATGTTGGTGAGGCTACAGGCTTGAGAGGTAATGGGCTGTCCGGGGGTATACGAACAACTGAGGAAGCAACAGGCCACCGAGTTCCGAAATGCTTGATTTACGAGAGTTGCCGAATTCGTCTGGCTTCCGCGGTTTTGTCTGCCGAAATGCAGCTTGGCGCTTACAGTAGTTGTGGCATAGGCTTTTGCAAGCTTCACTTGAACCAGCAAATGGCCCTTCAGCCCTGGGCATCTTCAAACCTGCTGCCTCCTTGGCCATGAAAACACTATGAACACTATGATGCAACAGAGTCCATGTCATGTGTAGGCACCATCAGGCAAGAAACCGATGGTCACAGTTGCAGCAAAATGAACCTGATCGTCTGAGCTTCGATCCGTCCGAGATGTCTTTGCTTTTCTTCATTCATTTCCCCGACTCGCAGTCATCGGCTTTCCGCCAGAAGCCCCAGGCCTCACCCGGAGCCTCCGGCACAGTCCAAGTGGCCATGCCTTCCGAGTCCCTGCAAGGAGCTACATTTCCAAACAAGAGACTAGATATAACGGATCCCACGACCCGACGCTCCTGGGAGCCACGCACCTCCAGAATAGCCGCCTCGCAGCTTTGGAATCACGGAATGACGGCTTGATACGCTGCATGCCACTCGGCCTGTCCCGAGCGACCTTTTCCATTGGCGCTGCATACTTTGCAGAAAGCTCTTTGCCCAAACCTGGATAGCAACAGCCGGAGATGTAACAAAGAACTGCAGAGATACTCGGGATGCGGCCCCAAACGTGTCGGAACTCTGCTTCCGAGCTTGTCTGGGCACTTCCGGCCTCCGTGTTTGAATGAAGACGTCAAAATGTGCACGATGCAAACGAAAGCCGTGCGATGCCAACCTTGTCGCCAGATAGTGCTGCCTGAGGCGGGTTTCTGATCAAAAATCGGATGCCTTCTCGCGCCGTGACAACTCGGACTGAAAAAAATTCCAGAACTGCGGAATGTGCGCTGAGAACACATTAAGGGGAGGGCGGGGCAGCAGCAGTATCAACATCCCCAAGTCTGCTAGCTGAAACGGCTTTTTGAAGGATCTGAGTTCACGGTCCACCCCCACCTAACCCAGCCCAACCCAACAGAAGCCCAATTCGCCCTATCCTAGCCACCCAACCCAACCCGACCCTGATCTGACCTAGCCTCACCCAAATAACCAAAGCCATCCCAACCGAATCCCCTAACACCAACCTAACCCAACTCAACCTCCACCTAACTAACCTAACCAATCCTGACCCGAAGCAACCTCACCTGACCCAAAGCCGCGACTTGAAGCCCAAGCCCAAAGCGAATCCCGCGTCCCAAAGCCCCGGCTCCGAAACTCAATCTCACAAAACACACCATAGTCATAGTCATCCACGGATGGCATACGGGATGGCATACAAGGCCGAAAAGGGAAGGGTTAGGTTTCAGGGTTTGTTGTGGGGTCAGGATTATGCAGGATGCCAGCTTCAGGTCTTTATAGCTCAAACCCGAATCCGAGCGTGAGCGTGCTTGTTCGCATTGTCGCCTGGACATCTCCGAGGAACAAGGCTTTTGAGAAGAGTCGCGGCGAACCTGGAAGGCAACAGATGAGGCATGCCAGACTTGGTCGAGGAAATCCTGTGCCTGCATCTTGGCTCGAATAATTTTCGAGTCCTTACGCAGGCGATTCTCCATCGGAATGCCAGAGGCTTGGACAGGGAGAAGCTGGCTGCCAGGTGGCGTGCGACCTCGTCGGCCATCAGCTGCATCATGGCGCTGGGCATGGATTCATGCACCTCCACGCAAGGCTGAAAATGGCTTAAAAACCCTGATAAGGCAAACTGTGTCCGGCCTGGCCTGGAGGAGCTGATCCAAAGGGCTGGCTTCCCTGGCATTCACGATGCTCACCTGCATGGTCCTTAGTGCCGCACCCAACAAATCCCGTACGATTCCGCAAGGCTGAACAGTGAGAGGGCATTTGTGTCGGAGAATTGCGATCTGCATTTCGGTGCTGAGGCTTCCATCTTTCCACCGGCTATGACAAGGAACTGTTTCAAGCTTTGGCACTTCAGGACTTAAGCTTCGCAGTCTTCTGGATAAACACGCCACACGCCCTGTTCTCGAGCCCTACAGTCAACTTGGCAAGGTCCAGCCACAAAAGTCGCGAGCACCAGAGCTCGTCTACCCAGTGGGCGAGCAGAAAGCGAGCGGGTGTGCATTGTGTCTACAAAACCTATAGAATTTGAAATATGCCATACCATACTCCTCAAATGGCTTCGTTCCTCCCTCCGCTGAGGCGCACCAGGGAGCTTCCCCTGAACCGCTAAGCTCGCTTCCCACACTGCATCGACACCCGCTTCGGTCAAACGGCACAGAAGCGTCGAAGCGTGGTGACCCAAAGCACTGTCGCGGCCAAGAGGCGAATGATTGTGAACATGTCTGGGGGTCCCAGTCATGCCAGAAAGGCGACCCAGGACAGTTGCTGTCACTCGGCGCACGAGGTAAGATTCCTCCACGACGACCACACGTCGAGGTCTGTGAACTAGAGGTGGCAAATACGTTGCAGCCCACTCCAGGAAGCGGTCCTCAGTTGCTTGCCGGGAGAACATCCTTCAGCCATCTTCGCCCCCTTAAATTGGGGACGTTTAAGCCAAGAGGCAGTGTTAAAGCCAGTGTTGCCCACACAACCGCACTTGGCTCGAAGCTCCGGCGTGGGACACTCGTTGCAGCTGATGGCAACTACTCTGTTTGTTCCCAGCGTTCCAAGCTCTCCTGGCACCTCCAGCAGTACCAGCAGCCTCGCCAAGGTGGCATGGGCCTCCCCATCCAACTCGGCAGCTCTGATAGAGCTCAGCCGGCCACGGCCTCCAACAACGACGATCGGCACGCTGCGAGCTTTGGCCTCGGAAGTCGGAAGGTGCACAGCGGCTCATTCCTGAGACTGAGACGCCTCCGAATACGTCCGAGAAACAGCCAGTTCCAGCACCTTTCTGACTTTGGAAAGACGGTCGTACCAGTTTGACAGCACCACTATGGCGTCGATGGGCTCCTCCTCGACATCAGTCCATCCGCGGAACTCCTGGCTAAGGAACGTAAACAACTTCTTCGCGTTCTTCACCTCCGCATCCGTTGGTACAGGAGCCTTGCAGGGCTCTTCACCTCAGGAACACTGGGACGTCGCACTCAGAACAAAAAGAAGTAGGTCCCGGCCTAGATCTTCGGAGCTGTCCGACAGCTTGCGGTACTGCTCGCGCAAGCGGGACAGCTCCGCACGCAGAGCTGTCGTCTCGCTGAAGGCATCAAGTGGCCCTTCCGCCTCCGTGGCCGAAGTCCCACGAAAACTCCGAGCATCGTAGTCCGGATGGAGCACACGCACCACCTTAGGGACGTTCCGGCTACAAACTCTCGCCATCCCCGCCAACATCTGAGACAGGCCTAAGCATGCTATCTCGCATCCCTGCCACCAGCGATAGTCGCTCATTGCAATCATCCGAACCGTTCTGACAGGTGTGCTCAAGGCTGTGGAGATAGCTGTCCTGCAAAGCCCCGCTGCATACCAGCATCCACACGCAAGCATTTTCGTCAGGAAGCTGTATATGTGACTTTGGACGACCCCACCTGAAAGCACATTGCCTTCCCCGCTTTGAGCTCGCGCCGATCTCCAGCCACGTTCAAGAAAGCCCCCTGGCCACCCTTTAAGGTCAGGTGGATGTTGATTTGATTGTTGACGGCACCACTGTGTGGTCCCACGTAAGCACCATCCATGGACCGGAAGAGCACAATCTCTTCGTTGTTGGGGACAACCGTGGGGAGGCCAGGTTTGGTCGGGATCTCGGGCACAAGTAGCTGGCAAGTTCGAGGCATCACATCACAGACTTCCGTGTTCCACGTGCGGCCCCTGAAAATGAAGAGGTTTTGCCAAGACCCTTGTGTGAAAAGGTAAGGGTACGCTCGCGTGAGCTTGGGTGCCACATCGATAGCTTCGCTGAGAATTCGGCCTGCCTGGGCCTCCAGTGTTCGAACAAATGGCCATGCCTGGGCAGGGAAACAGCTTGGCGCTTCTGAAGGGCATGCTTTTGGCTGCGCTCCGGCACCTGGTAGCAATCCCAGAAGGACTTTTCACGCAATCCACGCACCCATACGGTTGGCGTTTGCAGCGCGGAGGGCCAAGGAATTGCCGCCTAGGTTTGTTGCAGGATGACGCAGTGGGCTGCAACTGCTGCACCTGTGATGCCAGAGTACCTGGGTTTCTCTCCGCTGTTCTCCAAAATCTCTGACAGCCCACCTCCTCCTCCGGGAGCATTTCAGGAAACGCACGGGTCGAGCCACGGAAGAGTTGTCGAGCACGCTTCCACACCAGCTCAGCGCCGTCAGCGTCGCCTCAGGCTTGCTCAGCCGAACTGACACACCGTCCACAAGCACATGGACCAAAGCTGAGATCGGAGCCCATGCTGAAGAGCTTTTGGATGGCCTTCTGCCAGCAAGTGATGCATGCAACAAGCAGTTGTCAGAACGCTGCAGCTTGGCCACGATCTTGTACATCTTTTGCGGGCATCTTGACTGAAGCTCGCTCTTGCTTTTGAGCTCTTCAAGGCACTCTGGCAGAAGTGCCACCGATCTTGGTCGGCGGGTGAAGAAGTCCAATGCTTCACGTAAAGACTTGTGCGGACTAGCAGCTCAGACACTGCAGCGGCCACGACATAATTCCCTGCAGAACTTGGGAGCTCTGCAGCCCAAGTGGCATAGGTGCCTCGAACACCCCACGCCATGCGCATCTATGCACGGGAAACTGTGGCCATATGGATGTGCAGCAGGGGCACTTGCAACATCGAAGCTGACGGCGGCCATGTGCTCCCGGATGGTCTTCAGAACGGCACCGCGGCCAGTCGAAGATTCCTGGAAGTGATCTTTGCGACAGTCATGAACGAGTCAGCAAAGCCTTCAAACTCATGGGCCTCCCAAGTGGATGCCCAGACTTGAAGTCGCGCTTTGATCGCCGAGACATGGTCGTCTTGGTACTTGCTCTTCTGCTCGGTCTCCTGTAGACGGAAACTACCCAGAGAAGCTTGTTGCGATTCGCTTCGACAGCCTGTGCTTCGGAGAGCAGCCATGCTGTCACCCAGCATTTTATGGCTTTCATTTCACATGTAATTGATAAAGAAGCTGTTGGTGTCACTCGTGCGAAAGCAATTGCGCACCGTGCCCCAAAACGACTGAGCCATTCTGGTACATGTACAAGATGTCAGTCTTTGCGCAGCATCGTATGAGCAGCTTGAAAGAGCCTCACTTTGAATTCACTGTTGAGCCCCCGTCAATGCTGCAAAACGGCTTCAACTTCCAAAAGGGCAGGCAGGCAAGCGGCCCACCTTTGCCAGCCAGCGTGTCGCAACGTACAGACTGAAACGAAGCACAGTTTTCAAACTGCTGGTGCAATGAGGCTTGTGCTGCAAGTAGACTCTGGCAATTCCCAACTCTCACGCATGCTAGCTGGTAGCCACAACGTGGCACGCTGTTTGCGGGATGTGCTTCGAAGGGCGCCCAGTTCCGTATTACTCCGGTTACAAGGTGCAAGCAGCAACAAATCAATATGAACAACACTTCTTCACACTCAACTGAAAGCAGAATGTGAAGTCGCGGACACGTTTTTGGAAGCCATGCAGCGTTGGAACAAACTTCCAAGCCGAGCATGCACAAACTGAAGCAGAAGTTGGCAGTCTGGGGGAAGACGGCGTCTGCCGACATTGAAGAGAAGGGCACAGCAAGTAAGCATGCGCCGACACATCAAAGGTCACTGAAATCTAAAGCAAGAGATTGTTGGGCATCTTGGGATCGCTCCAGGGATGCTTTTGATTTCAGTGAATGTTGCAGCACCGGCAGCAAGGAATAAAAAGGCAGGAAGATGCAGTTAATGTCAAGCAACTGCTGCATACACCGGTTTTCCCCAGCATCCTATCACTGCTCCACATGTCGCAGCAGAACTTCATTCTGCTGGATGAGCTTGAAGATGACCCTTCCCAATTCCTTCTGTGGAGGAGGCCCCATGATGTCAAACTTGCGCAAGGAATCTGGTCGCACAGTAATTTTTCAAGCTGCTGCACTGCCTGTCCTTTTTGCCCCTCTTGTCAGGATGCCGACTGCGGTAGTCTTCAGAAGGGATGTCTGAAAATCTTCAAACTAGTGGTCTTACAAGTGGAAACTTAGAGTTTGAAGCCGCGCTTTGGTCGCCGAGAAAATCCTGTGAGTAGCTCCGAAAACCTTTGAAACCTGTGCTTTGGAGAGTGGCCACACAGCATGCACAGAAACTTCATGGCTCTCATGTCATGTAACAAATGATGCTTTGCAGTCTGGCTTGCTAAATGTACGAGTCGTACGAGCAGCTGTGCACAGCACTGTAGAAGGAGCAGTTTGAAAGAGCATGACTTTGAATTCACTGTTGAGGCATGGCGAATGCTGCAAAACGGCTGCAACTTCCCAAACACCAAGCATGCACGAAGCAACTGAATTCGTCAAGCATAACCACCAACCTGAAAGACAAGACAAAGCATGCCGCTTCTTGTTTGGAAAGAACTCGGCTGCAACACTCCTCAACCTCAATCGCAGATGCTTGAGCTTCCGAAAGGCTGGTTGCTCCACGGCTTCTTCACTGTATCATAGGAATGCATGCTCCCAAGACCGTCGACATGTGGTGTTCACAGCTTGCATGCGGGCACACACTTTCTCGGCAGCTTTACGCTGGAAGCAACGATGGGTACCACTTGCCTCTTCAAAGGCGCAGGCGGCGCAGCCTACTCAGACTCACTCAGCTTTCCATCCGACCTGGGCGAGCGCAGGCTGCGATGCACCTTTGCTTGCTCGGACAGCGATAAGAAGCTGAGATGCGGTACTGACTTCCTGACTCGGACTCGAAATCAAGATCCTGGGCCTAAGCTGAAACCGGAGCTCATCAGGCACATCGACATTGAGCTCCAAAGCCAAAGCAGTTGTCAAGCAGGTTAAAAAGCTGCATACAGATGCCGAGGATGGCCACTAACAGAAGCTTTTTTATGTGTTTGCTTGTGATTCCCCAAAACCAGGCCCTGGGCCAGCGCGTCAAACCGTGCTGTAATTTCAGCCCGCGTCGGTGCCTCTGGCACAACATGGCATGCTCTTCTGGTGCTCTTCAGCACTCCGCACATGCCTCGGTTGTGGAACGTCGAGCCTGCACAGTGCTGATAGCTCTTGGTTCAGAGCTCTTGGACTTGGAAGCTGCCTTTTTCGACTTCTTCGTCTTCTTCTTGCGGTCCCGACCTTAGCTGCAGCTCTCGACGAGGTCCCACGAGTCTGGCACAGCGGCATGCTGCATCCAGGGAGTACAATGAGTACAACCCGGAGTTTGGCGAAAGCATGCACTGCTACAGTGCTACAGCCACTGCGGCTCCTTCAACGCCTTCAGCGACTTCAACAACGATTCTCAGTCTTAGACTGCAACTTCGGCTCTGGCTCTCGGATGCCTTGACAGGACAAAACTGTCGGTCTCCTGGTGAATACGAAGTATATAAGAAGCAAAGAAAATCACACGACTGGCTGACTACTTCATGTTCGAAACAGTTCCGTCGGCTCGGCGACGTGAGCCCTGGTATCAACATGATTTGACATAGGACAAGGCTCCTTCCTCCATCTTGTTACTCCATGTTTCCTGAAGGTTTACCGCCACTTGTCGAAGAAATTCTCGCCTTCTTGGACGTCCGCTTGCGACGCTTTTTGTCGCCTCATCTCCACTCTGCACCACATGAGGAGGCAGCCTCCGTGAGCTGCGTTGTTTTGATTTGGCCACTCGTGAGGCTCGGACAGCCGAGAGGGACCCCCGCCGCGTGTGCCGCCTGAATTCTTGGCAAACATGCCATGGTCCATGGGTAACCTGACTGCATTCCGTACTGAGTGCAGGCACGGCATCGGACCTCCATGCGCTCGGGCAAACATGCTTGCAAAATGCGGCGCTCTCTAGCCGTCCATGTCAGAGTACGCCCCACCGTTGCTCTTTCTCTTTCAAGCTCGGGGGCTGCCTCACTCACTGACTCACTCTCTTTCCCCCTCGCTCAGTAAGAAGTCCGGGGCTGGGGGCACGTACGCACCTTCCTGCACTTGTACGTATGTTAGTACACCTATGCACGCATGTATGCATCTGTGCATATATGCAGTATGTATGTACGTATGTACGTATGTACGTATGTACGTATGTACGTATGTACGTATGTACGTATGTACGTATGGATGTATGTATGTATGTATGTATGCATGCATGTATGTATGTAGGTATGTAGGTACGTAGGTATGTAGGTATGTAGGTATGTAGGTATGTAGGTATGTAGGTACGTAGGTATGTAGGTATGTATTTGTGTGTGTCACGTTTTTCATAATTAGCATTCAAATGTATGTACGTATGCATGTATGTATGTATGTATGCATGCATGCATGCATGCATGCATGCATGCATGCATGTATGCGTGTATGTATGCCTGTATGTATGCATGCATGTTCGTGCGTGCGAAGGTATGCTTGTATTCTGGATGTCTGCATGTGTGTATGTACGTCCTTCCTTGTGTATCGTACCGACGGCACTGACATGCACCGACAAGGGGGACACTATGTACGCCCGTACATTTTACTGTACTTGTATGTGTATGACTGGCTACTACCAATGTTCGCACACATACACACGCACGTCCGCCCCCTTGCAGATTGCTGGGGAAGTGTGTACCTACGCAGGTATCAAAGGGGCAATGCACGTAGGTACATAAATACGTGCTCCCCCTCCCGCCCCCTCCCCGGCACATGTGCGTGAACGTACTCTGGGGTTTCTAAAGCTCGCACTCGCCCGGGCAGGCCCGCCCACAGTTTCCTGACGGACCCTGCCCTGGAACATCTCGTCTCGACATCGGACGGGGACAAAAAGTGCGGTAGAAGTCATACGCTCCCAAAGGATTCTCTTTCACTCTGTCTTGCCTGCTTGCTTGCTAGGGGTATGGGGTCCCTTGCAACCCCTGGCTTCTTTCTCTGTCACTGTCTCAAATTGTGACTGAGCCGAAGGCAACATCCACGGGTCCCAAGAACTTAGCACTCGGAGCTGCCAGGCACATTCCGCAAATCGGGTCTCGATGATTTGAGGCAGTGGCGGCAATGGAGGCAATGATGGAGGTTCATGCCTCACGGCGCTCGCTTCTCGCATGAATGAAACTTAATGGCATAAGCAGCTCTGTTCGTCTGCGACACATATTGCGACACCTTCTCTCAGTCTGATTTAGCAGTGCAGACACCTAAGTCTGGAGCCACCTGTATCCGGGCCTGAGGCACGTGTCAACACGACGTGCGGAGCTTTTGCGAGAGTTTGCTAGCGATGCTACACCTGTTCAAGTGCATCTTAAACCTGAGTCATACACCAGCTTTGGCATTACAAGCACGGAAGCCACAGTCTTCCGTAACACAGCAAGAACAAGGAATTCATGATGCTGTCAATTCTTCCAATGCTTTGCTGCGTTTATCACACTGTGACAACTCACATAACTACACCAACACCTCCCCATACACATGCCGAACACCAACAGCTCGGTGTGTGCACCAACACCCCAACAAGATGTACAATAAATGTTCAAACGACGGTGTGCGCTGTTGCTGCATGCATGTACACCAACTTACACATTCTGACCGAAATCTGAGGCACGGACACTTTTCCGCGCATGCACACACACACACACTGCAACAATCCTCTCCGGTTCAACAATGATGTCAACTCCAGGTACAACACTACCAAGATGCGGCCACAAAGTGTGGTGTGGGCATCCTTTCCACTATGAGTGCACGGAACTGCCTGCAGGCCCATTGAATCTTTGCACGCGTGCGTATGCGTCTAGCAGCGCTACATCAGCATGTGCATATACACAAACATATATATATACATATATATATATATGACGTACATGCAAAGACAAGTGCAAAATTGTAAACATATATGCACGGCACATCGAGAAACACATGCACACGGCTGGGAAATGCTGCAGACACAGACCCGCAATGTGTAATGCATGACGAAGCTCGCTGCTTCATGATTCCGTCTGCTGCATGTTATTTTCAGACACTCAGAGAAACATTGCAACTTCTACTGAGAGCAAGGCATCGCAGGAACCATCTCTCGTGGCAAGAATGCTGGTGCCGGATACTTGCAGGAGTCCTCCAGCAACAACTGCACCCCCAGCCAGGTCTAAACATCCCGGCGTCCAGAATGGTTCTTGGCCTTTTCTGTGTTGACACTTTTTGAGAAGGGGGGGTGGGGGTGGGTCGGGGGGAGTATGTGGGACGCGCAAGAAAGTAAAAACAAACGACAGTAAGAATTAAGAAACCGAAACCAGAAAGAGACAGAAATGACAAGAGTGAGGGAGAGAAACAAGAAGAAAGTCAGAATCAGAAAGAAAGACACAGCGAAAGAACGAAAGGAGAAGGGAGAGGGAGAGGAAGAGGAGAGAGAGAAGGGGAGAAAGAAATAATGGGCGAAATGAAGACAGACACAAAAAATAGGGAAATACTCAACTAAATGCAGACGTTTCGAACAAATCATGAAAGAACGAACGACGGACAGAAAGGAGATATGGCAAGAACGAACGACGATGCGACGTCAACAGGAACGAAGATGAGAGCAGGAAGGCTGCACATACCCATCGAAATAAAGCCTTACAGATTCCGTTTGCTTATGATAGAACCAGATTCGGTTTGGATGAAGCCATATCAGGTTATACGACTAGAAGTTAGTATACACTACACAGATGCAGTGCAATATGATACAGTATGACAGAGCCCCATGGGATTTAACATGATCCTGCTTCATAGGGCTTTATTGTAACATACTTGGTTATGTTACCTCAGGGGAATTGGATTAGGTTTCTTTGTCAGCATAAGGTTGCAAAATACAGCATCAGGTCGTGCTAAGTCGCGTTTTTCAGTATTTGTGTGTAGCACTGTATCGTTCTATGCAAACTCATACAAGCTGCATGCTCCCAACGATGATGAAGGTAAGAGGACTGCGTATTCAAGGTGTTTGTTTGCTGTTTTGCAGTCCAGGCAAGCCCTGCACCCCCCACCCCTGCTGAAGCCAAGCCGAGCCAAGCCACTATTCGGATCTGGCAGTCAGGCCAGTGCTGCAAAACGTGGGAAGGGCACTCTTATCTCCATCAGGAGCGATGATGGGAGCTGGGAAGCGGTACATTTTGTTCATGCTAAACGCAGCATCGGTTTGGACTAAGCTTATATAGATTATGCGACTGTAAGATAGTACACTTAGATGTAGCATAACACAAACGCTTGAGTATAAGTTTCACTGCATTAGGTTATATCATGCCGTACTAGATGATGTTACGACATGGTAAGCTGCATTGTTACCAAGTAATAAGGATGCGCAACATGGAAATAATCATGAGCCATACGATAACACTGAGAATAGCATTAGGAATAGTCGTGATTATTCGCCCGCGTCAGAGTACTAAGAACAGCAATCGTAAAACCAATGCCACTAATGCTACGTATTATGGTGTGATGAATATAGTAATGACAGCACAAAAATAACTACAATAGTATTAATGATAAGAACACTAACAATAGTACGAATAACTTGGAGGATGATGCCGCACCCCGGGATGACGAATGGCGACAAAAACCTGTCCACAATCACGCAAAGCTTCAGGATCGACCTCCATCGCCATGCAATGCATCGTGTTCTGCATTATGCCTGCCTTGTAAGATGACAGCAAGAATCAGCATAGCGGAAAAGCTGTGGGTCCAGTCAACAATAGGCCCTAGACTGGAAGAGTGGAGTAGACAGAAGCAAAGTCATGCTGAAATGTCTCTGGCTGAGGCTAAGCCGCTAAGCGCTCCTCTAGAAACGACTTGGAACTTTCTTCCCTCGGCTCCTTTCGCGTCACGGCCTCCCGGCAGGGGCGCAAGGAAGATATCCAGTGCCGCAGTGCCCTCGAAAAGCACACAAAACACTGGGCCTCTGCAGCTTTTGCCACATCTTCACGGGAGAACTGCGCCGCTCGCGACACTTCGATCGCAGCCGGCTTACTGTTGGTATCCTCGGAGCCGACCCGATCAAGACAGATTTCAGCACTGCACCACGAAGACAAAAACTGTAACTGGGAATTTCCAAGCGACGGTCTCCAACACCTAGACACATCCTGTTGCATAAACCTTTAAGCCCATGAACCGGTGTCGGACATTGCTTGGAAGAAGCCTGGCAAAAGAGGCTCTATTAAGACTCGCTTCGCATCGTTGTCGTGGAAATGCAGTTTCACGACGAACATCCCAAAAAAAAACAAAACTTAGAAAAAGAGTCTATGCGGCGAGGCCTCCAGTGCAGTCTCCTCGGCAGGCTTCGCCCTGGCGCAGGGAGACTTGTCCGTAGCTGCCTGCCCTAGCTCCGTCGTTCTCGCCTTTCGGGCTCCGGCGGTTGAGGAGGGTCCTCAGGTTGGATTTACGACTGCAGCGCGCAGAAACTACTGCACTTTCATGCTGCCTCGACGTCGATTATCTCAATCTGGTCTATCTTCCCCTGGCAGGGAGGCAGAGGTTCGAGAAAGCAGGCCAAGAACGGAGTTACGCACCTCGATGTCAACAATCTCCACTTCGTCTGCCTCCTCCGTCGCCTCTTCCTCTTCTGCCGCTTCCGCCGCCAGACCTTGCACCTCTGCCGACACCTCGGCATTCTGATCCTTCGCCTGCTTTTCGTTTCCGCCGCTTCCGCCGCTTCCGCCCTCCGCCGGCCTTTCGCTTACCTGAGCGCGAGCACAAGGGCCTTATAGGGCCTTCGTGTCTCGGGATCCCTGAAACGGCCTTCTTCTCGGTACCGACCTTTGTCCAGAGCGCTCCAAAGCAGCCCAAGACTTTTGCAACGCAACGGCTCAGAGGCTGACGTGCGCCTGGCTCAGCTTATCAAAAAGACCAACTTGCCCTCAAACTTCGTGATTCCGAGCCCGATCTTTTCATATGGGAAAGCAGGCGAAGCACGGCTTGACCATTCGGTGATTGGGACCGACCATGCACATCATCCTGTAACAACACATCAATCAGCGAATTCAGGCATCTGTCACATCTGCACGGGCAGTCGTATGTACAATGGCACACTAGCGAGGCGCGACCCGCTGCCGTGCGGAGCCTCACTGCTTCAGCTTGCCGCACAGAGCCTCCCCACCGAATGCGACGCGTTTTTGCGCGGGCGCGGAAGGTGTTCGAATGTGAAGAGTTTGAAGGTGCAATCAGTGCAATGAGCACTCGCAGGGCCAGCGCACGGCAATCAGCCTCTAAGAGTTCCGCACAGGGCTCGAAGAAATGGGACCGGCCGTTCAGCTCGATGTATCTACCTACTGGTATGTATGCTGCGCTGCCATAGATGTCATTGCAACAGCCGTCAGCCCGACTTGGGTGCAAACTTTGTAGCTCCTGCGAAGTGTCCAAGTGACACAACAGTGACACAACCCAAAAGCATCAAGGCACCAAGTGCAGCGACCTTTCCTCAGCCACGACGCGCCCCTCCGACACAGGAACCAGAGGGTCGTCTGTGGAATGCAGCTGCACCTCACTGCGCGGCAGTGATGCGGCAGTCCAACGTCGAATGCTGCAACCGGACGCTCATCTGTTTGGCACATCGGTGTGCTCGCACTCGTCGTCCATCTCGGGGTGTGACGAAGGCAGGGGGACTGCTCTTGTGCAAACTGGTGCAAACCCCTCGGAGGGTAAAGTGACCAAGGTCAATTCCACGACATCATGGGGAAAAACTGGACGAAGCATGCGCAATGTGCCTGTCTTTGAAACGCCCACTGTCACCAACGCACGCGCCACTTTGACATCGGACTCTCTTCCTCGTGCACCGCACCCCCCACTGGGTGAACGAAGCCCTGCCGATCTATCCACTCGTGAGGCCATCTCAAAAGGCATGCTGACATAACCCCCGGCAAGTTGCAATCCACCCGGTGTTTCTTCGGATGTTGGCCTGAGCTGAAAACCCGATCGGGAGCCTCCAAATCAAGTCCATGTTCCTTTGCTGCAGACGAGGCTCCCAATTCCACGGCCCCCCTTTTGGCGGGTAGTATCCAGAAGCGCGCTCTCCTGCATCTCCCAAATCACCTGAGCCAGGTTACTGGATGCGTTGGTCGCTCCCTCCGCCCTTCGAAGCTTTTTGCATCTTGGTGGCTATGGCAAGCAGCCACCAAGACCAAGCCGCCAATGACCTCCTCCTCCGCCAGCCTCATAGCCTGGAAGTCCCCCAGAACATTGGGACGAGGTGGCGTGGACAGTGCGTGCAGAAGTGGATTGCAATGAGCGGCTGCTTGCGCACCACTGGAGTGCCCGACAAGCACCTTCCAGGAGACTTCACGCCAGAAACCCCACACTGCCCACACACAAAGCTCCCAGTCCAACCCAAAACCCAAGACTGCTGGGTGCTGGTACTGTGTCAGGTCCGACCAAAAGCTCCTGTCGCGGCAGGCGAACCCCCACGCTACTGCGAGCCCCAGTGTGGCCTTTCCCCTTGCCTCCTTCATGAACTTCAGCCAGATCTCACGCTTCGCCTCCCAAGGGTCTGGAAAGTCCCGGAGAACAACCTCCAGGGGACCAGGGGACCTGTACTTGCGCGTAAAGGGCCGGCAAAGGCAAATGGCCTCCTCCTGAAGGAGCTTTTTGCGATTCAAGCTCTTCGCCAGCCAAGAGTACCAATTCCTGTGCTCACGAGGGTTTGTCAAAAAAACAATCACGGATTATGTCTGTTTGAAACCTTATCGTTTTACAAGCTCAGGGCCATGTTTACAGTTATACATGTTTATATATATATACATGCACATATCTATGTCTCTCTCTCTCTATCTATATATGTTATATAGTTACATACATACATACATACATACATACATACATACATACATACATACATACATACATACATACATACATATATTTATACGTTGCCTCAGTCAGTCCTTGCACAAGGCTTCTTGGGTCAAAGGGAGGACTGGGGACTGCCGAGACAAGAGGCTTTCATAATGGCAGTTGCCAGGTCGTCAGCGCTGTTTGGAAGCCGTAAAATCCTATCAAGGATTTGAAGCTGCTGCTTTCGGGTGATACCTGCAGCATATTCCTGACGAACCATCACCCCTCAGCTCAACGCTGGGTCCAAACCGCCTAGCGTCGAGGAGCTTGCTCGAAACAACCTCTCCCTGCTCTGCCGCCGCTCTTTCTTCAGTTGCGAGGCTCTTCCAGTAGCACAACTTGACGGCATTGAAAAGGAAAGTTCGCTGCCGACTGGTTCAAGCTGCATGCTTTGCTTCGCCGCGAACCTTCTCCACCACTAGAGTGCGGATATCCGTCCACCTGCCTGCGTCATTTTGCAATGCCTTGAGCAGTACACTCGCTTTGCGCGTGTTTCCTATCTGTTAGTACTGGCTTGATACAAAAATGGTCAAGTGTTCACTGAGCACAGATTAGGATCTCAAACCTTATCGTTTGGGTTATCGTTTAACAGCCACTACGCCAACCGATTTTGAGTCCGGATATAAACTTGTCTCACTAGGAAGCTAGACGGACTGTCGCCGCTGTTGCGGCTGCGGCGGTGTCAGCGATGGCTGGCACTGCGGCGGCCAATCAGTAACGGCCGGGGTGATTGAGTCCGCTCCTGCTGATCAGCACATCAGTGGTGATAGGGAGGAGGCGCAAGAGAGCAGCTAGGGCAGCGGCTGCAGCTGGCAAGGGGAAGACACTTCATGCACTACGCAGGCGGTTGCTGGCAGTAGGGAGACGGCGGAGCCAACGGAGGCAGGCCACCAAGGACCAAGGAGGAGCCAGGCGCCGTATACGAGAAGGGCCAGGTGCACAGGACTTACGCCACCGTGCAAGAGAGACTCCGTGGGGTCCCGATTGAGGCGGATGGCTCTGGGGAGCACCTACAGGAGGACGCCAGTGTGGACAGCGACGGTGCCGTTTCCGGCATCACCATCTGCACTGAGTCGGAGGGAAGGACGACACATCCGTTATGGTCGCCTTCCACAAAGATTCGGAGTAGCGAAGCTCGGAAACACTAAGAGGAGCACAAGCAGAAGCGACGGGCGAGGTTCCCAAGGTGACCTCGGAGGTGGTGCAAGTGAATTAGTTTGGAAGGCCAGGCTGATTGGGCTTGGCCACTTTTGAGCGGGCCCCGTGCACGCGGAGTTTTGTGAGGAGCCCTACGGGCGATTTGGCGAGCAGCTACACCTGTGCCAGCGTGCTGTCCTTTTCGATTACTACTACCTATAAGATACTCGTTTCCCCACATAACGACGCCCGGACGAGTTTACTCCTTGTCGTTTTTCCGTACATCCCTGACATATTCATTTATGTTGCCACAGAAACCTTATCGTCAAAAATTATTCCCTGCCGTTTTGCAGTGAACCCGACAGATAGGCCCACCAGCTCTTAAATCTCTATAGCGGGGTTTTTACTGAAACCCATGCCACAGATGCATACATTGATCCGCAGTAAACTCTGGGACTCGGACGCCTCCTGGATCGGAGAGCAGCCATTTCCAGGTGCGATGACCTGCCGATCGGCGTTTGGAGCCCGGAAGGCAGCCCTGAAAGCGCCAAGGAGCGCAGCGCTTGAGCGAGGCGGGCGAGCCGAGCTCTGTGGGCTCTGTCTCTGCATCCGCAGGCGCCGCAGGCGCAGCGCGCGCGCTCTCCTTCCACGTGTGGGGAAAGGGAAAGGGAAAAGGCATAGACGTGCCTTGGCTTGAGAGCGGCGCCTCACTCGGATCTTTCCATTCTGAACGAGCATGGTCTCGCGGGTCACCTCCCTGGAGGCCACCATGCTGTGGAGTGGACATCTCAAAGTCTCAAACATCTCACGAGAGCTCAGGTTGGAAGCAGACTAGGATGTTGCACCGGAAGCATGCCCTCAAAGCATGCAAGCTGACGGCGAAGAAAGCTCAAACACAGTCGCGGACGTCATGACGCCTTACGGTCTTTGTATCGAACGCATGCTGCTGGGGTCATGCACACCTTCGACGCAGGGCTCTTTTCTCAGGGCAGAGTGGGAAGGTGCCTGAGAAACCCCAGCATCTCTTTCTGTCTCAGGATGAAAATGGATGTAGTTACGTGTTGGAACAGGGCCCGAAAGTGGCAGTGTGACGCTGTTGTAAGTTTGTGCCGTGATCGCGGAAGCATGCTAACGACGGACACTTCCAGAGGAGTGTCCATGGCTCAGCAAAGAGAGTCGGGCTGAAGAGGGCTGCACGCATGCAATGCATCTCTGCGCCTGGAAGACGCGGGTGCAGACCTCTTGTATCAGATGACGGACGTACTCATAAAAGCATGTGCTGACCTCTCGGACACCGCAAGAAGCCTCCAAGAAGGTCTCTACCCAGGCCGGGACAGCACCATCCTGCGCACTTCTTTGTCTTGGGCGAAGCCGCACAAAGACTGTGCCTCATCGGCCATGTCTCGCAGTTCAATGCCGAAGTGTTGGTTGCAACCTGCATTCCAGGAGATAGGGCGGGCTCGACAAAGATGATCTAGCCGAGTGTCTCAGCAAATCCTGCAACTTCGAGCACTGGTGTTTCACCGCCGGGTGCTCCTCTGCAGTGCAGAACCCGGTCGCTTGTATATGTATTCAGAACGAATCTCAATCCTCCGGAACTCTTGCATGTAAATTGTTTGGCCTAGAACCAAACTCAGGCCCTCGGCTCCGGAAACACTATGAAAGACTCGACAAAACCTGAAGCACTGCAGCAAGATCGGCAGACGCTTGGCAAGGGAGGCTTAATTCATTCGCTTCCTGAATCTATGCTTGCGCTTTTGCACAACTTTTGACCCGACTGACCACAAGACCAAGAGGAGGCGAAGAGCCCTGGGACCAACCCTGGCTGCATCCTAACCTGCATACGTCATGCACATCTTCAAATCCTGTCTTTAAAGCCATAGACTTGGTTCGTGCCATCACGCACGACGACTGCACGTGTAGGAAAGCAGTGAAACTTAATTTGGTATCACTGACAGATGACCTGAACAGCATGCGTGTTGAATGCATCAAGTATGACTTCAATCTGCAGTGGACTGAAACTCGTCACTCACACAACGTGGGATAATTAGTCTTGAGGTTGTACTTTCCCAATTTCGCGAACGCCCTGGGTTTGCCTCGTGGCAAATCGAAGCGACAGACGAAAAAAGCCACGTCATGTACGATGTACGGATGCCAACCACGGATTCGCTGAGACCATCTAGAATCTAGAAGCTGTGCTCAAAGACTCTAAGGAAAATGCATGCGGCAAAACACCGGAATCCGTGCGGCACATGTCAAAGGCTGTCAGCCCCGCAAACGCTCGGGAATCTCGTGCTGGAGGTCATGCAATGCCTGCAGGTCGCAGTTGTCTAGGGCCTAGGGAATCCAAAAAGGGGCGGCCCCCGCCTTTCCCAGCAGGTCGCGCACGGATGCTTCCACCCTTCAGGCAGGACTGTTCGCAGGCTTTCAAAAAGGAAAAAAAAAAAAGGGGACTCAGACTGGCATGCGCCTGTGGGGAGTCTCACCCAGGACTTGCCACCCTTCCGGGCTGTCCTCACAGAGCGGAAAATTCGCAGCCTCTGCTAGAGAAGCGAGGCTTCAGGTGCCTCGTCGGCCAGCTCCGGAATCACCACCACAGCCCGGGGAGCCTTTGAAGCGACCTTCGCCAGAGTGAGACTCCTGGGTCCTTATAAGGTGAGCTTCGAAGTCGGGCCTTCTCCAAGTCAGATTCTTGGCAAACCTCTCTCGGAATCGCAAGGCGGGCACGAGAGCCCTCACACGACTCGCACTGCTGCACCCTGATGCACCCTGCGCCTGGTGTGACGCGACATGCACGCGCACATCGACCCCGCTCATAGCAACAGCACCAGTATCAAATCGAGACATCACTACACCTGCACTGAACCTGCGTAAAGGCATCCCGCATTCTATTGCATGCGTGCCGACTCATGTCTCTGTCCACACAGCTCGAAGCCACAGAAAAAAGCCGCGATTTGCAGAGCGTCACAAATGCTCGGAGCCGCGAGCTCATCCGCCTCATCCTTGCCGGCTGCTTGTCGCGCACTGTCCGACCTTGTCTAGCAGTGCCGTCGGGGAAGCAAGCAGCATAAAGGCGACTTGGGCATGACCAGAAGACTCCACTCTGCGGCGCTGCGGGCGTTGGTTCTTCGAATCTGTCCGAGAGACTTCGAGGGATGAGGGGCCGTGGCGATGGCACCCACCAGGCCTCGGGAAAACGATTCACGGTAGGACAAGCTGGGCAAGCCCAGTCCCAGTTCCTCTCTTTGAAAGAAACACTCGTATGCCACAAGCTGGCTTTGCTCATCAACCTGGACTAACAACCAGCAACCCGAAAAGAAATCCCTATGCAGAGAATGCATCGCACAGCTTCGTTGCAGGACGCGTTAGGGAAGGCCTGATGCCTGCTAAACGTGAAGCCATGATAAGCTAACATGCGGCGCATAGGTTCTCTATAACTCCAAGACTCTAAACTCCAGCATCCGACCATATCCGACCGGGGGACGGCACATCCAATGCGGCACTACCTAGCTGAAACAGAGATGAACTGGGGGTATGAGAAAAGCTGAGCAGCTCTTCGTTGGTACCATGACGTTTCCAATCCCGCATTCCTTGTGAAAAACGGCCAAACAGAAAGTCTCGCTCTCTCGCTCTGCTGCCACCCGGCGCGAACTGCGAACGCGCCTGCGCCCGAACGGGCGGCACCACGTAGAGAGCATCCCTGAGGCACGCGGCCACACCCATGCGTTCCTGCTAGCCAGGTCCACTGCGAGGCACCAAGGAGAAGAGAGGTCCTTTTTCGTAAAGTAGTCGTCGTACTCGTCTCGCAAGGTCTGGTCCTTAAAGGGAGGGAGGATGCGCTGCCGCGGCTTCCTTTTTTGCGAGGCTCCGTCGCCCGTGAGCGGAACCAACGACAGCACTGCTCTGGGCGCCTCAAGTTGAGGCAAGGAGTGTGGCAACAGTCAACTAACTACGTAACTACATCCTTGCATAGACACTGCGAAGCTAGAGGAAGTCAAGTCCTTCACATCAACCCAGAAAGTTGGGTGCGGGTGAAAATCGAAAAGCAAATCCGAAACTAGGCGGATCATGTCGGAAAACAGCAGAAACTGCGCATAACAATTTCGGCAAAAATTGACGCACGTTGGCAAAACCCAGGAAAGGTGCAGGAAAACAGCTCTCTCTCTCTCGCTCTAAGTTCCACAAGTGAGACCACTCGTCAACAGCCTTTTCTGCTGTTCAACGTAAAACCTCTAAATTGGCCCAAGAATTCCTATCACTAGCTAGAGGCTGTAGGGTCCGCCAAAGGTCTGCATTGCCAAAGTATCTGGAATGTGCTGCCGCCACCTCTCGCTCCGTAGGATGGCGATAAATTTCATGGTGTATATGGTGGGGGCGCGGGATAAGGGAATTACTGGAAAGTATCTGGGCTGCAAAGCACATGCTCGATGTGCTGTTCAAGGTGCTCCAGCACTCTTGGGCACTGCTTCGGGCTGTTGATCAGAACGGCTTTTAGTGGTAGTAACCTCTCCACGTCTGTGCTGAGCAGAAGCCGGAGAATGGAATCTTGCGATTTGCAGGCTCAGAGCCTGGAGCTTCGTTCAAGTTCTCGTAAAGACGACATCGGTTGGCAAACCCCCAGCCCCGAAAGGACATGTTGGTTCGCAAACCCCAGTCCGGAAAGAGAAAGGCATCGGTTGGCAAAACCCAAACCCAGAAATGAGATGTTGGTTGGCAGCCGAAATAGAAAACGCCGGCCAGCAAACTCCAAACCAACAGTCTTGATTGGCAAAACCCCCAAGCCCTGAAAAGAGACGTTGGTTGGCAACCCCACATCGCGCAAGAAAACGACGGCGTTTGGCAACCCAACAATCCGGAAGTGAGATGTTGGTAGACAGAAGTAGACCGCCAAAAAAAAGACGACATCGGCTGGCAATCTGCAAAACCTGAATGGTAATAGACCCGAAAAGATGAAACGTTGTTAGCAAGCCCCAAACCCGAAAATGAGAAGACATATCTTTGCAAACCCAAACCCTAGAGAAGACATATTAATTAATGGTTGACAACCCCCCCCCCTTCCAACACTAAAACAATATGCTGGATTGCGGATCTGTCCGTCTTTGCGCAGGCCTGCATGCAGCAGGAAGAGCGCACACCAGCGAAAGAAGTTGTTGCAGCAGCAGCAGGAGGAGGAAGAGGATGCTTGGGCGTTGGTCTTTGAGTCGGGCTCGGCATTTTCCTTTCCTGAATGGGGGGCACCGTTCTGACTCACCCCGTCCTTTCCTTCAAAGTTCAAGCGAATGATGCCTAAACCGCGAGCGAGCGAAGACGGAGTCACATGATATGAAAAGCTTCGACGGTTCGATTCCTGGGCAAGAATGTCAGTTGAGGCAGCCACATGCTTTCCCAGCTCGTGGAATGGCACTCGGTGGCCTGACACAGCTTTGCCATCTGGAGGATTTGGCACGACTGCTTCAGTTCCAGACGTATGATCAACATGCGCCCGGCGGCTTCGAAGAAGGCCTCTCAGATCTTGTTGACCGGGGCTCGCAAGTTCTGGATCACTACTCTTTCAGTGCAATCGCCTGAGCTGCCACCGCATCGCCCTGCAGCAGTGTCGCTTGGAGTCGAAGGGCCTTGCCAGCCTCAGGTCCAGGTCGCCATGGCTTGCATGACTCTTGCATGACCAAAGGCTGCTCTTGCAGACCTTCAAGTCTAGCCGGGAAGAGTTCGCAGTGGAGCACTAACTTAATGTCAGCCGCACCTCGCCGCGGCGGAGTGTCAGGAACGTTGACCACGGTGCCACGGACGTGACGGGCACCAAGAGGACTCGGCACAGCACCCCCGTCGAAGACTATCCAGCATCCCAGTGAATCCAAGGGAAGACCAGATTCCAAGCAAGCTTGGGCCAGCGACAGGGCACGCGCACGCCCATGGTAGGCTCCGTCGGCGGGGGTGGCAAGGGCCTCATGTCTGCATCGCATCTTGGCGCTTCCATCTTTTGAAGCAATGCCATACTATTCTAGCAGCACACCTCCGCACAAGGCACATTAAACCGATCTTTGCTCAACAGCGTTCACTCGATTTCCTTTTCCTCCCGGACCTACTCGAAATGGTTCTACTATGTTCTACTCCTGTCGTAAGAGATGCCTTCTTTGGTAGCTTTCCTCAGCCTGCACAGACGCTCTGATGTTCTGGCTTCTTTCTTTTCTCCCCAGATTTCACGCAGTGACACTCAAGACAATGTCACTGTGGGCCCCGACAGAGCTGATTTGGCCTTGGCTGCTCCGACGGCAGCAGCCTTGGCTGCCGCCACCAGGTGTGCAGGAGGTGGGGCCTCTTGCAACACCATGTACAAACAGTGTTTTGTTGCCGTGGCACGAAAGAAGCTCCTGCAGAAGCATTTCAAGCCTGTGGTGGGCGCGGGGCACGTGGAGGCATCACCCATAGCGGCACAGGAGGTGCGGGCTTTGCAGGTGGCGCAAGCTTCGCAGGCGGCGCAGCTGGGGGCTGCAGAGCCTGAAAGTCAGCAGACATTGCGCCGATCACTTCGACATGCAGATTACGTGGGGCCAAATTTTGCCGGCACCTGCCATCCCTCACCATACAACAAGAATTCTCAAAATGGCAACACACCGGCACCAGCCGTCACCAGCGCGAAAACAGATTTGTTGGCTGGACTCGTGGGTAGTGTCCGAGACATCACAGGTCTGTACCTGTCTGCTCCTTTTTCGCGAAGGAGCGCAGCTCGCAACGCACATCTCACGTGAGACCGGGACACTCTCGGCCTCGGCTTCTGGGGCGCTTGGAGGCGCCGGCTCCTCCTCCTGCAACAGTTGAATTCGCACAGGCTCGCATGCTCTGAAGAAACAGGCTTCCATATCAGGTTTCCCTGCGCTGTGAAGAGGAAAAGCTCTCAAGTCACTCACCAAACCCAAACGAGGCAGCAAAGCCCGTGCACAAATAGCCTCGCTCCATGCATCGAACTCCGGGACGGTGCTTGGCCTACGGGCCTGAAGCAAGTCGTCAGACGGAACCCAGAAGGCAAAATGCAGGGTTGGCACTAGCAACCGGCAAAGGTCCAAGGCAGAGCCTGCGGAGCAATCTCTGGTGCCACGCTCGGTCGTGGTGGGAGGACAGCTTGCACCTCAAGCCGAAGTCGAGCAAGATTGCTACACTGATTCATCACATCCTTGCCAGTCCTTGCACTGCAATGGCAATGAGGAGCCATGGCTGGTCATGAACGGGACATTGACACGGCCAGCTAACTCGTTGAAGCTGTTCCAATCCTCTTCCCTCGAAGGATTACTCTTCTTTGCATCAGGACTTGCGCAATCGCCTGGATAACTCAAACCACTGCAACAAGTTGCTTCGTGAACGTGTTTCGCAATGCATTCTCTCTGCTCAAGTGTAAGGGTAGTAAGATCTGCATGCGACAAATGCCATTCCGACCCAGTTAACAGGCGGACTGACGCGACCAACGCTAATCATCGGTTGTGTAGGGTGTTTAAGGTTTAAGGGCTTTAGGGTTTAGG